AACTGCTGTATGGAAAGTGAATTTGCTCTGTAAATCTTCACCCAAATCACAATAAAAATAAATTAATTAATTAAATTTTTTTTTAAAAAAAGAATAACAATTAAAAAACGGTGTGCAGTAGAATGGAGGCTGTGGTGGTTTAGTGTTTGAATTCTCACCTTTTATGTGGGAGACCTGGGTTTGATTCCTGGTCAGTGTACCTCATTTGCAGGCACCACACATCTGTCAGTGGTGGATTGCATGTTGCTATGATGCTGAACACATTTCAGTGGAGCTTCCAGACTAAATGGACCAGGATGAAAGGCCTGGCAATATGTTTCTGAAAATCAGTTGGTGAAAACCCTGTGGCTCACAATGGTCCAGTCCACAACTGCTCATGAAATGGCACAAGGCAGGACCAAGCAGTGTTTTATTCTGGTGTACATGGGCTTGCCATGAGTCAAGGGCCAAGTCTAGCCGTTAACAACAACAACAGTAGAATATTCGTATATCTTCTCAGCATAAGATTTTTGCTCATCTTTGGGGAGGCTTTTGTCCTATGATAAATGGGGTGACTTGGGAGTTGCCATAACTGATTTGAGAAGACCCAACCATGACTCATAAGGAATTTTACACTTTGTTTTTCCCTGAAAACTGTCTTATTTCTGTCAGAGCCAAGAGAAAATTGTGATTGGATTTCTTCTCTGAGAATATCACATTTTGGTGTCTCATAGTCCCAAAGGCATTCTTACATTTGTTAAAATCTCTTCTCTTGGGGCTCTGGGCTTCATTTAAACCTTAGTAGGGAAAGCCTACTATGTTAGCTTCCAATTTCTCTAGAGTTCTGTATGTAAGACTGTTAAGAATATCATTTTTAGGAGAGCTTTCTTGTAGTTTTTTGCTTATCTGTCACAACTTGGTGAAGAAGCCTGCATTCACATAGTATATTTTTGTTCATTTGTTAAACATTTATGAAGCGTTGAATGTCTGTTGGTCATGTGCTGAGGTGTCATGGATATCATCCATTGTATCACCATCAAATGGGAAATCGTTTGTTTTAGTCATCCAAAAAATGTTTTTTCCTTTCCTATGTTTGTATTTTTTTCTTCTTCTTTTTAGCATTTCTGGCAAGGAGTCCATTATCGCTGGGCCTTTTTCATGGCCTGTGGTCCAAGTCTAGACAAAATTGCAGAACTGGTGGATGCGGGAAAGGTACGTGCAACCCTTTGTATTGCTAGAGCACCTTAATGCTCGGCTGTCTGCCCACAACCCTAGTCAATGGGAGCTCTTCAGAGGTAGGCTTGCCCAGTCTATATGCTGCCTTACGTGGCCAAATTTAAGTGCTTTATTTTAGGTTCTATCTCCAAGGGAATTATAGCCACAGACTGCTACATAGGAAAAAGAGCTTATACCATCTGGTCAACCCTCCTTGGTTTATAGATGAGAGGCAGGCCCAGAGATCTTAGATGTTGTCCCAAAGACACTTGGTTAGACAGTGGTAGAGATGGGATCAATGGCTTGGCTGCTATTATGTTGGTAATGGTCTTGCTATTATTTTGGTAATAGTCTTAGAAAGAAGGAAGTTTCCATCACAAAGGAGATCTCTGCATTCAAAGATGGGAATACTCTTGTGAGGTTACAGTAGCTTCTGGAGCTCCTGTACTCAGAAGATGAGGCTGCTCTGGAGGTGAGCAAGATTTCCAGATGAGCAAGGGGGAATAAGCCTGTGAAATCTAAATCCCACAGAGTTAGGACCAGAGTCAGTTCCCCAGGTCTCCTGATTCCAGACTAGTGTGATAAAGTTGAATACATGGTATATTGGAGAGCGTCAGTGGCCAGGACATGGGTGAGGATAAGGATTTGGGTGCAGTCAGCTGGTTGATACTCTGTGACTACTCGTATCTGACCTGCAGTGGACTGTGTGGGGAAGAGATGGTTGCTTACAGCCTGTGCATCCCTTTTTGGGTGTCCAAAGACTTTTCAGGGCCGCCGGGGATTGAACAACTCATCAGCTACCTCCTGTTCATTTATGTTCTTACATGGTCTTAACTGCCCTGACACATTTCCCCTCTGGAGGGATAAACTAGAGGCAAACTCATATTTTGTCACTGATATTTCTAATCTTATTGAAAGATTATTTGGAATTATAGGGCATGGGAACTTATGTATCTTAAAGGGTGCTTGAGGTCATCCTACCTGGTTCTCATTTTACAGATGAGAAAATTGGCTCAAAGAGAAAGGGACATGCTCAAGTTGCAGCACTGGGACCGGATCACACCTCCTGACCCCAGTCCTGGGCCTTTCCCTTTCCGCCGTTCCGCTGCATTCCTGGTGCTTAGGCTGATTTAGGGACCTAAGCTTACGTTGTCTTCTTCTTGTCATTTTATAGTGGGCAGGGAAAGGGGTGGCAGCAGCGCCATTGTGACCGCTGCACGATCCATGCTGAGATGGGCACCTGCCCCTTGCTGGTGCATTTCATCTTTCCATTTTAGTTTCTGAAAAGGATATTTTTAGGAACCACTGGCTTATTTTTGTGCGTTTAGTTCACTTTTTCCATCATAGCCAAGTAACTACATAATAAAAGATAGTCTGTTACTGTTTCCTAAATTTTTTTGTTCTGAGTTTGTGTGCCTTTTCTCAGACCTCCTGTAAGTGTTCTTGTGTCCTAGGCGGAAAAGGGCGAGGCCTTATTAGAAAAAAAATAAAAAACGTCACTGCCCTTTAGTCGATCCCAACTCATAGCAACCCCTTCTTGAGTTTCCGAGGTGGTATCTCTGCGGAAGTAGATTGCCCAGTCATCCTTCCAAGGAGTGGCTGGTGGGTCTTATTAATGACTGCATAAATAAATGCCTTTGTGTAGGGCTCATGCCACATCCCACAGGGAAGCTTATTTAATTTCTAGGAAGGAGTGAACTATCATCAAGTAATTTAGGCCATAGTTCTACATACATGCTTCCTGTGGTTAGAGCCCCAATTATTAGAGAGGTTTGTCCTCCAGAAATACACCAAATGATTATACTTGTCCCTGTATCTGCTCCAGGCTGTCCACATGCTTACCATTGCTCTTTATATTCAAAATATTGTGTGTGTCTCTTCCTACCTGGAAATTACTGTTTACCCAACAGAGCAGAAAGGGAGCTTATATATATCTACCTATTAATTTTCCAGATAACTGGCAAAATGTTAAAAGAGGACATGATAGTAATAAAGATGTCCTAAAGTGTCCTTGAAAAAGGATGATCCTCCCCTCTCCAAGGTTATTTGGACTCTAGAGTCACTTACGATAGTGAAGGGCTCTGGGTCTGTGGAAGCTGATACGTGAAACTGGATGCCACGATGAAGTCAGCTGGAGTGTCTTGTCAGGCCACTGTTTGCCTGCAGAGAAGGTCGTGTAGTCTTTGATGAGAGGTCATTGCTTGTTTACACTGGGAACACAACAGATCTTCTTTACATATTGTGTAGTACGTGTGGATTTGTTAAATTGGACAAGGACGTTTAAATTCTTCCAAGCTTCGCCTACATGTTTAATGAATCTGATCAGCTGGTCTCTGATAGGAGTTGCTGAAGAGAATTTTGACACTATAAAGCCCTGAACCAACGGAGCCAACTCTTTCAAAATACCTGTAATTCAAGTTTTTAGATACATCATACATTCCTAAGATTCAAAATCCCAAATATAAGAAAGGATCTATAGTGAAATCTTCCTTGGCTCTCTGACCTGTCACTAAGACTTCCTTGCCCTAGGCACCATTACCAGTTTCTTGGGTATTCCGAAGATGTTCCACGCACCAGGAGGGAAGAAAGTTATATGCGTGTATTTTCTTCCTTTCCTCCCTTTTCCTTCTTTATTCTCTCCCTTCATTTCTTCCCTCTTGCCCCCCCTTCTTCCCTCCTTACATTTTATCTTGGACTTGTTCCATATCAGGATATAAAAATCTTCCCTTTTTTTAAAAAAAAAAAACTTCATACTCCCATACCATGATCTATTGGGTTAAACACCTAATTGTGAATATATCCAATTCTCCTTCTAGAATTGCTGCATCAAAAGGTATATGAATTTATAAATCTTATTGTTGTTGTTGTTGTTGCTGTTATGTGCCATCAAGTCAGACCTGACTCATAGTGACCCCTCCTTGGGTTTCCAAGGCAGTATCACTACGGAAGTAGATTGCCCCATCTTCCTTCCGAGGAGTGGCTGGTGGGTTTGAACTGCCAGCCTTCTGGTTAGCAGGCAAGTGCCTTAGTTGATAACTTTGATAGAGTTTTAAATAGCCACCTCTTAGAAACCCTAGTTTGTGTATTTAGTGTCTGGAAGTCCTGTGGCTTACCTTCTAGTCCTTTTCTCTCTTTATTGACCTGTTATCTTCCCTTCTTGCCTAGTTTACTTCGTTAGAGACTTGTTTCTCGAATCTGACACTGCTCACTTGTGACTTAAACTATCTTAGTAAAAATGGAACCTGGATTAGTTAAGCATTTTTTTGTGGATTGTAAATTCTCCTTGTTAGCCCTTTGTGACCCAGTAATAATGGATAACCCACAGAGTTAATATCCATAATCACGAGTCCTTTCAGTTTGTCCACGGAGAGTGTCATGCTTTCACTTTCGTTGTCAACACCATGTGCCTTTGCTTACTCATTGTTGTGCTCAGTAAATATTTTTTGGAATTAAATTCTGTGGTCCCTCATATGCTCATCTTTAGCCCAAAAATGGAAAGAAACTGAGGTTTTTACAAGTATAAGGACCTTACAATTAATTTCTCCTAAATTCAGGATCTAGACTTAGTCGTTGCTTCCATGTGACATGTGCAATGATTTTATGATCACAATTTCAATCTGAATTTTAATGTAATTATATAGCATTTTCATTGTGTCTTACATCAGGGTTGGGAAACTGCTGCCACTGGGCAAGTCCAGCCTGAGGCGTGTTTTTGTAGGTCTTCTGAGCTTAGAAAGGCTTTTAGATTTTAAAAGGGTTATTAAAAATACAAAAAACAAAGAAGGACATAACCATGTGTGGCCCACATGCCTGTAATAATTATAGTCTGGCCCTTTACAGAAAATGTTTGCCGATCTTTATCTTAGAATAGTGGTTAAATGTTTTTAATCCATTCATGCTTAACCCCGGTTTATACAGTAGGAAAGGGGGGAGTTGCAAGGGACAGGGAATGCCAATGCGTCTGTCCCGTCTCCCCTACCACTCAAGCAAAGGTTCCTTCTCTTTCCCGGCAGCTGCTCTACGTAGCAAGGAACCTGGGCCCTCAGAGACCACTTTGAAAATAATTGTTTGGGGCAGTCTCAAAAAGAACAGTTTATAATTAGCACTTTGAGTGTAATGGGCTGCTACCGAAATTGTGTCTACAAACAGTTTATTGGCATTCACTCGTAAGCACAGTAAACATTTCCTGTTTTTATTCTGTTTAACTAAGTTTTTTTTTTTTTTTTTGGTAGGGGATGGGAGCCCATTGTTGTTGTTGTTAGGTGCCTTCAAGTCAGTTCCAACTCATAGCAGACCCCATACACAAGAGAATAAAATATTACCTGGGCCTGCACCATCCTCACAGTCAAAGCTCTGCTGCACCATCCTCACAGTCGTAGCTGTGTTCAAGCCCATTGTTGCAGCCACTGTGTTGATCCATCTCACTGATGGTCTTCCCCTTTTTCACTGACTTTCTGCTTTACCAAGCATGATGTCCTTTTCCAGGGACTGGTCCCTCCTGACAACATGTCTAAACAAGAGACGAAGTCACCATCCTTGCTTCTAAGGAGCATTCTGGCTGTACTTCCTCCAAGCCAAATTTGTTTGTTCTTCTGGCAGTCCATGATGTATTTAATATTCTTTGCCAACATCATAATGCAGATGCATCATATTGCATGCATATAATGGAAAATACTATAGCTTGGGTCAGGTTAGTCCATAGCAAACATCATATTCAGAGTGAGCAGAGTTCATTTATATTCTCGTAGAATATTAGAAACAGAAAAACCTAGCATTTATCTAATTTACTTTCCCCACTTCCCCACTTTTCCTCATACCCTGCTATTATGTCAATTTTTTTTTTTTTAAACAATCATAGTAGATGTTGTTAGGTCCTGTGGGGTCACTAATATGTCACATTTGAAGATACTGAGGGAGGCTCTGAGAGATAGATGGCTTGCTTAGGGTCACTCAGCTAAGCAGCGTCCATGTCACCCCAGGACCTTCCACCATCCCTT